TACATTTCTATGGGACAAAGTGGTGTCTGTACAAAATCTCAGGCAAACTGGTTCTGTGTGTGTGTGTATTGGGCTTAAGTTTATATCCTTCTTGACAAATGTGGGTCAATACCGTGTCAGGATTGGGTTTAAAAAGTAAAGATAGTGGCTGCTTTTCTGTTGGCAAAGACTCTCTGATGTCCGTTGATAAGACTGAAGAAGTTTGTACTCGTTTTCCACTGATCATCCATAATGACTTGGTTATCATGTCAAAGGTGTAAATACTTGGGTCTAATATGATCTATTGACAAAAGAGATAGAGGTGGGGATCAGTTATGAAATGATAAGATTTTGTCTTGTTTTGATTTCATTGTGGAAAACAAACTTTTCTTCTTTTCACTGTTGGGTAAGACTGGTGTGGTTATCCTTACACTGGACAATGGTCAGGTGGTGTTGATTTTGTAAATATTTGCTTTTTAGATGATCTAGATTAAATGAGAATTTGTGCCAGACTTTTGGTGCTGCATATTGATCCAGCTTAGATGGAAGAAGGTTAAACTAAAAAACTCCTCAATTCCCCTCCCCCTTTATTACAAAAAAGGAAAACAAAAGAAACATGTATTGGACTTGTACCAATACTTTGAGGATTTTTCAAACTTTATAGGTGAAATTTGCTGAAGTTGGTTATTTATATTTTGCATCAGATGATGATGAACACACACTAATTTCTTCCCAATTAAAGCTATAAGCAAAGTGAGAGTGTTTTGATTGTTTCTTTTCTTTGGACCATATACTTTTGTCCTTTTATTAATATTGAAAAGGGGAGAGGGGAGGTAGAATTAGTAAACAGTTAATGAACCCCCTTCCTCCCCCCCCCACTCTTTTTGTGATTAATGATGTATTGAAAGTTAACCATTGTTGTGTCATTTTATTAATATTATGCATAATTCCTGTGTATTGAGATTTGTCCATGTATTTGTTATCATTTACTTTGTTGAATTAATATCTACCTCAGTAAACTGTAAACTTTATTTAGTTAGCTTGATTTTTTTCCCCATATTATTTGTTAGTGTTTAATCCAAAGCATAAGTACTGGTATATGGATAAGTTGAACACATTTGTTGCTGATCTTGCACTTTAAGAGGTTCAGTGTAGTATTGTTGCTGTCTGGTACAAGGATTGTCATTAATTTTGGGACTGCTGAGTTTCTTCATTTAGATAGAAAACCCCGTCAAGTTAAACAAGATCCCTACAGATAAAAGGGCATTTGGTTTTTCATCTGTTCTGACAGACCAAACAATGCAGTTCTTTATTATTGTGTGCTAAGGGTCCATACACAGTGATGCAAATGAACTTGGCACACACTGTCATAATGCTTTGGGGTAAATAATGATAAGAGTTCATAAATAAATATATTATTAATAGTTAAAAGATAAATGTTTGGGTTTTCCAGGGTTTTATGCTATATGAATTAGAAATGAATTGATGCATATATTACCGGGACATGACCATGACCTTCTGTACAAAATACATATTATAGTCTATTTGGTTTTCTTTTTGACAAAAATACATACAGGTAAACTTCGTTATCTCGACATCGACGGGACCATCGGAAAATGTCGAGATATCCGAGGTGTCGAGATATCAGAGTTGAGACTTGACATCCAAGATTTCACTGCATAACCAAACACATACATGTGTATAAGCTTATTATACGTACATGACTTCAATATAGACTGTAGGTCAACTTATTTCAGCAATCCCTCTATTTTTATTAAAAATCTAAGAAGTTATTTTTAAAAATCTTAATCTTATTTATAAAGCCTGTTCTTTCTCTTTATCGAAATCGTTCTAAATTTTTGTAGTTTTCCATCCAGCATTCGCGTGTTACTTGCTTTTTGTCAGAACAGGATACGAAATGCGCTCTATAAACTTCGAACCGAACCGTATAAACATGATAAAGTCGACATCCGAGATACTAAAACATATTAAATGCGTAATTTTTTTTTTTCTTATTTCATTCAGGAAGAATGTGCATTAATATTAATTTTTTAAGAGATTTGTGTATCTGAACTAACGTAGTGATATTACAGATGCATGAAATACGGATGATTCGGTTAATCGTGTCGTTAATCGGATTATTTCCTGTTGAATGCATTTTATGTACAAAATATTATTAGAACATCGTTTAATTCTTTAGTTTGAATTTATTCAATATGTTTATTATTCTTTGTAATTTAGTTATCTTTTTCAATTTTAAAAGTTATGTTAGGTTTCGACATAAATAAACACCTGTAAATTTAAGCAGAATCGTGTAGATTTATCAGTGATATTACCCAAACTGAACATTAAGCAATTAATGTTTCAAAGACGCCGAGGGGGCTTTGGATTCACCTACAAACACAGTCTATAGAATAATTAAGCAGCGTGCAGTCATAACATGGGTGTGAAAGGTGTAAATTTTTGACGACGTCGAGATACCCGGAGCCGTCCGTGCGTGACGATCGACCCTATCTGACAAACAGTTAGGTTCAGTGGAGCAGAAAATTGCCGATGTCGACATATACCAGGTAAATTTTGCTTTTGGGACTGTGAATATACGTCCAGATAACCAGGGTTGTCGAGATTACCGAGGTCGACATATCAGAGTTTTTGCAAATCATTTATATAGTAAGTACTGCTGGGACCGCGGACGGACGTCAACATATCCCAGGTTGTCGACACATCCGATGTCGAGATACCGAAGTTAACCTGTATTTTCATTTTGGAAATTGTTTTACAAACACATTATGTTTTTTTTTTCTAATGGATCTTTAAGTTGGGGGGAAGGGGCTAAAAAGTGGTATCAAATCTTACAAAATGCATATATCGATCAGCCTTTGGTTTTCACTACTGTGATTGTTTGGGGAATTTGCCTTTCTAAGCTCACCTGAGCTGAAAGCTCAAGTGAGCTTTTCTGATCACCTGTTGTCCTTCGTCCGTCCAACTCTTTGTCATCTGTCCATCCGTCCATCTGTAAACTTTTCACATTTTCAACTTCTTCGAACCATTGGGCCATCAACCAAAGTCAGTACAAAGCATCCTTGGGTGAAGGGGAGTTTAAATTGTTAAAATGAAGGGCCAACTCCCCTTACAAGGTTAGATAATCAAGAAAAGACAAAAATAGGTTGGGGTCATTAAAAAATCTTCTCAAGAACCACTGGACCAGAAAAGCTGAACCTTATGTGGAAGCATCCTGGAATAGTGTAGATTCTAAATTATTCAATTCATGGCCCCGGGGGGTGGGGCCACAATAGGTATTACAGGGGGGAAATCTAGTGAAGAACAGGAGGGCCAAAGTTACTCAGGTGAGCATTGTGACCCATGGGCCTCTTGTTAAGTAAACAGTCTGTGCCTGATGTGAGGCACTCACACTCACAGTCTATATCTGAAAAGACAGAATCAAATTTGTAGAATTAATAGCACCTTTTTTTTCTTAAGACCAGATCAGATAAGTGATTTTTTAAAAATCTTCATTAGAACAGCAGGGCCAAGGTGACTCAGGTGAGCATTGTGGCCCAAGGACCTCTTGTTTAAATCTGTTGCATTACTTTTCTACAATTAGATTTTTTTTTTTTTTACATGAGATAACACCACAAAAATTTACCTCCCAATTCCATAAAGTTTTACATAGGATTCCCTAAAAAGGTACACAGTTCTTGTTCCAGAAAGGACCATTTGGTCTACAGTGGACTTTTGTCTAGAATCAGATTAAGGTATTCCTAAAGTAAATTTAGCTAAACAAGCATATCAAATGACACTAATTATGCAGCACCAAATCATTGTACAGAAATGTGTGGAATTGAAAAAGAAATGAATGACCATGGAAATTAATTGCTTCAGTGTATCGTGTGTCAAAACTTATATGTGGCCTTTCAATTTTTTTGGTATACAGTTTTAAGGAATGCTGATGATTAGCAGTAATCCTTGCATATTTGTCAAGTGAATAGGAGAAATTTTACTGCTTCAGATCCTTGTGTTTGTACTTATATGGTATGATAGAGGAAAACACTTTGCATTTTAATACGAGAGAAGTTTCATTAATTGAAGATGTTGGTGAGTCATTGGATAGTTGTGAATATATTTAGCTGCAACTTTACGCAAATATGGGTCAGAACCAGACCTGACACTTAATGACGCAATTATTAATTTTCCATCCCATTAAAGTACAATTTTACAAGAAATTTATTGTGGAAAAAAAGGTGGATTATGCACATTATCTGCAGGTGCTATGCTTCATTGTTTTTTTTTGTTTTTTTTTGGATGTTCAATGTAAAGGTTTTAAAGAATTCTGGAAGATATCTAAAGTATTTGAATTATGGGTTCAAGTGTCTCTCTAATTGGCCATGCAATCTCGTATCTCAATCATGGTGATCAGCACCCCATTTCAAACAGATAAATTGGAAGTTCAAACACTATTTTTACGTCAAACTAAGATAGAATAGAAGTAGACACATGTTATTCGTAATTATTCTTTGTCAAATTTCATCAAAATATTTTACCTACATGGAAGAGATTCCTTCTGCCAAATATTTGCTTTATTTGCATTGTGATAGAAATGACAGAATTGCGGTTGAAGTTTTTTTTCATTCAGTGATTTGCATCTATAGCTAAATGATTAAAATTGTTCTTGTGGTTTTTGACAAAAATGTTTAATCAATCATTTGGGTATTTTTTATTTATTTTTTTTTAAATTGCCTATTGCTTTTGAAACTTATGTTTTTTGACATAATTTTGTGGACATGACCTTTGTGAATATAAAGATTTCCATACAGATGTTGAGCATTCCTTCAGTACAATTTACCATATATGCACATATTTAACTAGGAATCCTTAATTTTTGTTTGTGTTGATCCTGAATATATATGATTTAAAAACAGAAGAAAGTAAAAACAGATCAATCATAGAATAACAAATAATAATAGAATTTACAAATGATTTGAGTAAATCAGTGATGATATGTATATAAATATTTTTTACAGTCTTATTAAAGGAGAAGATTGAAAATGATAACCTGCAAAACAAAACCCTCAAGATCACTGACTTTGGCTTGGCACGAGAGGTCTCCAAAACAACCAGGATGAGTGCAGCAGGGACCTATGCGTGGATGGCTCCTGAGGTCATAAAGACCTCCACCTACTCCAAAAGCAGTGATGTTTGGAGGTAAATTCTAGCCAAAATGTATGGATGACCCCCAGAGGTCATAATAGCATCCACTTTCTGCAAAAACACAAAAATTAATGTACATTAACCATCAGCTGGATCCCACACCGTTTCCTAAAACAAAATATGTCAAAGTATATTTTCCACAACTTTCTTAACTACCCCCCCCCCCCCATTCCAAAGTCTATATGATTTTTCTTTTCATTGCATACCAGACCATGCTTTACTACCAAGTATTCTTACATGAAAAAATGAAATGATTCCTGTAATCTATGTGGATAGAGTCAAAGAGATATATGAATATATACTTAAAAAAGATAATTATGATTGATGTTTTAAAGTAGTGGAAATGATCTTGTAAGGCAATTATCACAATTTTCATGTAAAAATAGAAATGGATCATTCATTAGTTTTCCCATGTAAGCATAGTGATATGGATGTTTGATGGTGTATAAGAAAATTTATCATGTCAAAAACCACAAAGCACTTAAAAATACATGTTTATCTGTGCGTTGACGTCATGAAATTTATTATTGTCAGCAATATAAATATAGTAATAGGAATGAATCCTATGAGAATCTTGCAAAGATCAAGATATCATACATTTTTCAACATTGTGACAACTACATGTAGTAATAAGTTGTATGGGTTTTATATCCTCTTTTGCACATCCTATTTCTGTCTGTTTAGAAACACTCTCAGCACAAAAGGCCAGTGTTTGAGAATTGTGAATGTGGGATTTAATCCTGGAGGGCCTCTTTACTAGATACCTGCCTTGTCAGATGATATCACCTGTTTGGTTGGGGTGGAGTGTGGGTCCTGACTATACAAAGAAACTGAAGGGCAAAGATCTCTGCCTTGTTTTGTAACAAGCACTTCATAAAAAGACACCACTTTATTTATTTTATACAAGTCTTTATTGTGCACTCTAAATATAAAAACCCAGCAAATATCAGGTGTTTGAATGCTTGCAATTTCTCGACATTTTACAAGTTTACAGTTATTGAAGGTTATTTACCTACATGGCAAAGCTTTAATGATCTTGTTTTGACAAAATAGAATTAAAGCACATTAATGAACATTATTTTTATATCTTTGATAGCTTTCATAAAAATTTGATTGCTAATTAAAATCACAAGGACAAAAACATTCTGAAGTTAGTAATAAACACCAGTTTATAAAATAAAACATTTATTTGTTTTTATCACACTTGCCTTAAAACCCATTAATGTTTTTATGTTCTTGCCTTGAAAGTGGCTGGGGCAAAATAGTGTTTGTCATGTCCATCCTTCTGGCCTTCCATCTTTGTCATTATGCTTTGCAGTTAGATCAGTTTCTGATCAAAGAAAGATATTTTAATCAAAAATTTTTACACTGACACATCGTGGTGAGAGCTTTATTTTCTGACCTTGACCTCCCCTATGATTATTCCTCAGTTTGCATTTTGCCCAGTCTCAAAGAAACTGTACAAGAAATATTGACCATCCTTTTGACCTTAATTGACTTCATTGTTCGAAAGCACCTTATTATTATGGAGCAAAATTTAAATTTTTTTTTATTTTTGCCCCTTTTGCCCTTGTTGTTAGTGGGGATATTTAAAACGGATTGAATTCAAAAAGGCCAACATAAGATCTTATTAAGCAGAACTTTGTCTAGGTGAATTTAAAGCAGAGCAAAATTGTTTGCAAGCGTCAAAGGGCGAAAATAACCCTGTTTACAGTATAGAAAAGGAAATAGATAATATCAAAGTAATTTGACATCTTAGCAAGTTTTGACTTATTTACAGTCAAACCTCTTTATCTCGAACTTCACGAGACCAAGAAAATACTTCTAGATATCCGAGGATTCGAGAAATCCAGGGTAAAATACTTAAGAAATAAGAGCTTGGGACTTCAAAATCACTTAGACATATCCATGGTATTCGAGATAACCGTGTTCGAGATACTGAAGTTCAACTGTATTTAGTCTTACATTTTGTATTGTGATTTTTATAATAGTGTATGTGTTATGTTAAAACTTCCCCCTCATGTGTTTCAGTTATGGTGTTGTTCTCTGGGAACTGTTGACAGGAGAGACCCCCTATAAGGGGATAGATGCCCTAGGGGTAGCCTATGGAGTTGCTGTCAACAAGCTGACCCTCCCTATTCCTTCCACATGTCCAGGACTTTTTGCACAACTCATGTCAGGTGAGAATTCTTCAATATCAAATTTGCCTTTAATTGGTTCGTCAGTTTGTATCTCAGTTTGTTTTCTGGGCTGTCTCTCATTTCACAATTTTAATTTTCCCCATAAATTATGAATTGCATACAAAGTCAGAGGTAGTTAGCATGCATTCAATTTAACTGCCATCAAAGAGAATATTGTTTGTAAATTTATTCAAATTGTAACACAATAAAGACAATTCATTTTAATATTTTGTTAATTATCTAGATTGCTGGCATCAGGAGTCTCATCAGAGACCCACTTTCGCAGAAATCCTTCGCCGGTTGGATGAAATTTCAACCTCCCCATTTATGACTACCCCTCAAGAAAGTTTCCACACTATGCAAGAGGACTGGAGGCTGGAAATTGAGGAAATGTTCAATGAGCTTAGGAGTAAAGAAAAGGTAACTCAGATTTTGAAAGGGGAGATAATATCCATGTATGAGATTGATTTTGAGTACCAAATATTAAGAACTGGCAGTAAAGCTGATCAGTGCGGTAGTGAAACATCATCAGTATGTCTAACTATATTCTAGCTATTTTATCCTTTTTACGTCATTGGACTAAGTGTAAATTGATCTGACTTTACAAAGATGCATATATCAGAGAAGATTTTGGGAGTCTATATTTTGCATATTAATTTTGATTGGAAACTTCACTCTGACATACTAAAATAATACACTTTAAGTTCATTTCAATAATTTTTAAAACACCTACAAACAAAGATCCAGGATCTGATTGTAGGATAATTTATACTATTACTTTTCATTCTTCATAGGCATCGGAACCGGGGGGTGGGGGGGGGGGGCTTAGCCCCCCCTTTTTTTTTTTTTAAAGATAGACATAATATAGGCATTGAAAATTGGGGCTTACCTTTTTTGTTGGTTTAGCCCCCCACTTTCAATTAGCCCCCCCCTTTCAATTTGCTTCCGACGCCTATGTTCATACTCCAGTATACTGCTTATGATTGAATAAACTACAGAGCAACTCATCATATTGAAAACGGGTTTTAAATTAATATGTATAGAATTTTACTTGATTAAAAGATCATTCTGGTAGTTTTGATATAACTGAGGATGATGAGGTGATTTAGGGCTCTATTTTTAGCCGGAGTGCAGTAGTTATACACTTGAGAATGCTTTAATTGAATCAAATAATCAGCTTCAAATCTGAAGAGTCAAATTCTCGGCTTGTAGATTTGTAAACATCTTAAGGAGGAAAGGTTCAATGAGTTCATTTGAATACCATTGTACTACAAGTACTAGGAAGATCTTACAGATAAACGTTCACTAAATGTCTGTGTAGCAAAGTATGAGGCCTTATATTGTACAAAGAAATAGCTCTGTTTTCAAGATATTGAAGTCTAATTAGTTTGTAACTTTTTTTAAGAAAATGTTTTTTTAAAACTATTAATTGGGGAAAATCAAATAAAGAGAGGTTTTCACTTGCATAGTGTTAATTAACGTTCCCTTTTTGATTCAAATTGATAAACAAGTGTTTTAGCGAATAAGTTCTTCTATGCCAGGTATTTATGATGAAATTTTTATATAAGCTGGGCATAAAATGCTGAAATTTTATTGTTTTTTTTATATAGGTATCCTATATTTTGATCTCACTTCATGATCGTGTTTATAAATCAGGGTTATATGTACTTGCTGTAACATACTGTGGTTTTTGGGCAGTACATTTTATTCTATTATGAAACATGGATTATACAATGAATATACAAGAAAGAAGTTGCTTATACACCATAAGATGTAAAAGATGATAGATCGAATGAACAGTATGCCAAAACCAAATTTAAAATTGATGGTTATAGTAACTAATCTTTATAGAAATAAAAGTAATATACTTATTAGGGAACCAAAGCCATCAAAGGATGATGATACCTAGTAATTAGATAGTATTGTCAATCAATAAATTGTAAGGCTCTTAAAACAATAGGCCATGAATAATGTAAATAGAACATACAGAATTGGGTGTTAGAAGGCAGAGATTTCACAGAGGAAAAACAGACTTAAGACTCTCATTGATTAATCACTGAAAATCCAGGATGTTTTTCAGGATGTAGTCTTCATTTTTGCTGAGACAAACAAATTGAAAAGAAGGACGTTGAAAAGAAGGACGTTTATTACATTTTTTAAAGTTTTCCCTGGTTCAATAAATTATAGGACAGTAGCATTGGAAAGTTCGTTGAAACTTCTTTTTTATATTTATGTAAATAATATTTTTTTAAGTAAGGATGAATCTGTGTGGGCTCTTTGTGCTGAAAAGTAACAAATAAAGTAAATTGATATTTTATTTCTATCTCATGTCAATTTCACTTGATAGAGATAGCAATATATTGCCCCCTCATGTTTACTGTAGACATTTATAACCACATATCAGTGATTCCTATATCAGGGCTCCAAATACAAGTTTCATGCAATTCACTTAGACTTTTTTTTTTGCTTCATCATTCATTATGCTAAGTAAATCATTTAGATTAAGGTCTTTTATGAATTAATTTTGGGCTTCATTCAAATTTGTATGAAGTATATATGGTCAGATTGAACAATATGGTTGCAGTAGGGTTAACCTGCAGTGAATAAGATTATTATTATACATATAATTATTGAACATGTATTAAGTATTTCTCTTCATTCAAAATAGTCCAGTCCAGTGATTGCTATATGAATATTTTAATTGTAAAATGAGGTCAGTAGACAGATTCAGTGCTTTTTATCAGATTTAATTACTTTACTCTAACCATGAACATTTGGAGAAATTATTAAGAAAGTGTTTATTAAGTTTCTGACCAATCTTTGGTTAATTTGAACACCTACTGCTTATTTAAGCCAGGTGTGTTTAATGACAACAGGTATTTGAAACTCTCTCTCATTTCATGACTAGAAATTTAAATGCATTAATTAATTTATTCATATATACCAGTAAGATTATCAATGTCTGTATTATGTTCCTTCAGTTTTTTTTTTCTATAAAGGATATTATTTTAATTAAGATCAGGATTTCCTATGTTAACAGAGTGGGTGTCATTTCTAAACAAATATGATCGTCATTTCCTTTGTCAATATATATGTTACTGATAAAATTATGTCAGGCAAGCAATTTGATGCATGTTTTTTGTCATTCTTTTTTTTTTTTTTTTTTTTTTTTTGGAAGAAATTGTGAAATTTGAATGGCAGTACAATTGTATATTCAATGTGTGAACTTTGAAGTACTAGGTTAATCTTCAGTACCCCCCTTCCCATAAAGAAAAAAAAATAAATGTAAAACCATCAGGCAAACAGGGCAAATCAACATTTGGATTTCCATAATTGTAATGATTTTGAGCAAGTGACAATTTATGTTGAGGTGTTCTTTTTTTATTTTATGAAATTTTTACTTTTAGAGTGGTATCAAACAATTTTTGTATTTAGAGAGTAGAAGCTCTGATTATCTTTTTATCACTGATGTTCCTTTCTTTTAAAATGAATGATTAAGTAGTTTCTCTTTCGTAAAGGAGGATGAATTCATTAGTTCCCTTCAAAAGTCTGCAACTTTGAGTAATTTTTATGCCCCGCCATGAATATGGCCGGGGCATATAGTGATTGTCATGTCCGTCTTCCGTCCTTCCATCCTTCTGTCTGTCTTTCCATCATACTTTGCGTTTAGCTCTGTTCAAAGCTCAGTTTCAAAGAAACTATCCAAGATATTTTTATCAAACTTCATATGCTGATAGATATTGATGGAAGTATGCAACTGCATCAACATTTTTTGACATTGACCTTTCATTTGACCTCACTTTTCTAAAATTAGTGTTTAGCTCAGTTTTAAAGATACCATTCAAGGTAGTGTAATCAAACTTCAAATGTTGATACATACTGATGTAAGCTATTCAACTACATCAACATTTTTGACCTTGACCTTTCATTTGACCTTGACCTCATTTTTCTTAACTTAGTGTTAAGCTCAGTTTTAAAGATACCATCCAAGATAGTGTAATCAAACTTCATATGTTGATACATACTGATGTAAGCTATTCAACTGCATCAACATTTTTTGACCTTGATTATTCCTTTGACCTTGACCTCACTTTTCTTTAATTAGTGTTTAGCTCAGTTTTAATGAAATCATTCAAGATATTTTTATCAAACTTCATATGATGATACATACTGATGAGAGCTTTTCAACTGCATCAATATTTTTTGACCTTGACCTTTCCTTTGACCTTGACCTCACTTTTCTAAATTAGTAGTTTAGCTCAGTTTTAAAGATACCATTCAATACAGTGTTATCAAACTTCATATGTTAATACATACTGATGAGAGCTATACAACTGCATCAACATTTTTTGACCTTGACAATTCCTTTGACCTTGACCTCACTTTTCTTAAATTAGTGTCAAACTTCATATGCTGATACATACTTATGTAAGCTATTCAACTGCATCAATTTTTTTACCTTGACCTTTCCTTTGACCTTGACCTCACTTTTCTCAATTTGTGTTTAACTCAGTTTTAAAGAAAACATTCATAATATTTTTATCAAACTTCATATGCTTATACAAACTGATGTAACCTTTTCAACTGCATCAACATTTTTTGACTTTGACCTTTCCTTTGACCTTAACTTCATTTTATTTTAAATTAGTCTTTAGCTCAGTTTTAAATAAACCATTCAAAATATTTTATCAAACTTAAATATGCTGATACGTATTTGTGAGAAGTATTCAAATGCATCAAAAACATTTGAACTTGAACTTTCCTGTGACCTTGACCTCACTTTTCTTAGATTTGCATTTTGCTTAATTTTAAAGAAACCATTTAAGATATATTTATGTAAGTTTATGCACTTATACATAATTTGGTGAGAATTTATCATCTATATCCAACTTTTTAGATTTCAATTTTTAAGAAACTATTCAAAATATTCTCATCAAATTTAATACACTAATACAAATTTTCATGTTGCATTACTAATATACCCTCGGCGGGGCATTCATGTCCTATGGACATATTTCTAGTTACATTACATTTTCTCCCTTAACCAAAATTTTAGTGTGGAGTTGATATTTAAGTGACAGATTAGCTTACCCTCTGTGGTTGTGTTGTAGGAACTGAGGAGTAGGGAGGAAGAGCTCACAAAGGAAGCCCTCAAACAGAAGAAGGTGGAGGAATTCCTGTATAAAAGAGAACAGGAGTTAAAGGAAAGGGAGATAGAACTTGTAGAAAGAGAACTTAATATCATGATTCTTCAGCAAATCATGGGCAACCCCAAACCCAGGACCAGGAAGGGGAAGTTTAAAAAGAGCCGCCTTAAACTCCTCAAGTCAGGCGGCTCTTCAATCAGTGAACCTTCTGGTAATAGGAATTCAAAAATTTATTTGTTTATTTAAAAATAATTTACTTCAGTGAATGTATCAGATTTTTTGAAATATTATATAGATGGAATCATGGATAGATGTAAGCTGTGCAGTAAATGTTTGTAAACAAAGTAGGGAATATCATTTGTGGTTTTATTTGTACCCGGTATGTAATTTTTGTATTAGTACAATTCTATTGATCTTTGGTACAGATTTTCGACACAACATCACAGTGAAGCATGAAGTTCCTGTAACGAATCATAACCCATCGAGTCCTGACAGCCCACCTCAGTCTCCAACATACACTCCATCCAGACTGAGGGCAATAGCTTGTAAGTATCTGTGTACGGACAGGGCAGGGGGCAATAGCTTGTAAGTATCAGTGTATGGACAGGTCAGGGGGCAATAGCTTGTAAGTATCAGTGTATGGACAGGTCAGGGGGCAATAGCTTGTAAGTATCAGTGTATGGACAGGGCAGGGGACAATAGCTTGTAAGTATCAGTTTATGGGCAGGGCAGGGGGCAATAGCTTCTAGAATTAGTATCGCTTTCTATAAGACTATGGGCAATGTTGTGTTATTGCCTTCCCACAAGACAGAGGGCAATATGATATAAGTGTTTGTGACTACATGGCAGAGGGGCAATAGCTTATATATAAGCTTATAAGTGTTGGGATCTTCAGGCCAGATTGCAGAAAATGTAAGCATTGCTGGTGAGCTTGTAAGTATTTCTATCTACATGCTGTAGAACAATAGCTTAAGTATTGTCTTGTACAAGCTGGAAGGGCAATTTCTGTCTATGTGGTGTAGGACCATAGCTTGTAAATATTTGTGCAGGTTGGAGGGCAATAACTGGAAAAACCATAAAGTAATTTAGTGATGCTCATTCACTGATCATTAAGTAAAACTTGTTTTTGCAGATCTGTAAAAACTACAATTTATAGAGTCAGTTTACCTCCATGTTTACCAAACGATAGGAAACTTGTAAATGAATGAAGGTTTTATGGTCTAGTAAGGAAGCTTGATATGAATGAAATTTAATAATTATTCATGAGATTCCAACCTTATCAATGTATCATAATGTAAATGATGCAACTCAAAGTAGGATAGACATTGAATTAGGTGGCTGATATATTTTTATGTTGAATGAATCTTGAAATTTACTCAAATGTTCAAATTCATTAAGCTCTTTCTCTTTCCTTACTTTCTTTGTAATACACTTTTTCTGTATGAGTTCTGGCCTCAAGCATTTTATACACAAATGTCAGTGATATACTAATAGAGAATGTTTGGTTATATTGGACATACACTGACAGCCAAAATTACTTTATATCCATATTTCATAAAGTATTCCATCATTTTAATCTATCTTTAATAAGCAAATCATATTCAATCTGTTTCTTCATTTGATGCATTTCATCATTTTTACCGTGTAGATCCAGCAGATGGAGTGAAAGGTCGAACATGGGGACCAAGTTCTGTTAAAAATGAACGGCACCAAAGAACATCAGTCATTTTTGCAGATGGACGTTGGTCTAAAAGTGCTCCAAACTTAGAACGATCTCTAAAGAATTTAGGACATTCCAATTCAGGAGCACTTAACTCTCTATGTAAGGCAATGTTTTCTTTTTGTAATATTCAATCTTTATTGCAAAGAAAATTCTGATTGAAAGAGGTATAAATGCACATTATAGCATAATTCTGGAAAGGTATGTGTTCGGGTCTTTTTAGAAAAAAGGTTCTCTGTACAAATTGTTGTCCATGTTCAGAATGATTTGCTGATTAATTTTTCATTGAATTTCTAGATGGTGATGAAAATGAGTGGCCAACAGATTTGTCAGAAATCAAGAATAGGAACATTCCATACTGCAGTGCTGATTTTTCGCGACTTGTGAAAAAATCAGAAAGTAAAACAGAGACGGCTTTGTTCAATATAACAGCCATGATGGTTGGGATTGTGACCGGTTGTGATATTAAAACTCTTGGTCCTCTTGCATCAAAGGAGGAGGCAAAGAATCGTAGAAAGCGAGATTCATATGTCATGAAAGGCAGGGACGCTTACAATGCAGCAGTGCGTGATTCTTTTCTAGACAGTGAGGACTATCTTTCGAGTCATTTCACTTCTCCTTCAGGGTATCCACACCATACGTACCATGGCTATCAAGTTCGTCATAGACCTGCTTTAAATTTGGATGTGCCAATAAGATTTACTGAGGAACAGAATATTCCAAATTATTCTCAGACTTCTTCTACTTTTCAATCTACAAGTACAATAGATTCGGATGTAACAGTTCAACGGAGATCACTATATGATAGCAATGCCAGCACACTAGTGTCAAGCTCCCTAAGTCACACCACACTGAAAAGACAGTCATCTGACAGCAGTACCAGTAATTATGATACCCCACGTACCTCCCGAAACCTGCAAAGACACTCTGTCACTTTTGAAGATGAGTACCCTAGCAACTACAAATCATACAACACTCAGAACAAACAGTCTCCCCCAAATACCTCAAATTTCTATTTGGATTCTGACTCCCAAAGTCATCTCATCCAGCCAGAGATCAATAACCCCTGGGGTAATGGAGCCCCGCCAAGGCCTCCACCATATGTCAGTGATGTACCACCCCCTGTTGTGCCTAGGGACTACCATTCCAGGCAGCAGGAGGATTCAGAACCACCTCCCCCCATACCCCCGAGGAGGAAATTTATCAATCTAAATGGGGATACCCATGCAGAGAGACCAAAGACTCTGGACATTGGGCCCCGTAACAGACCTCGCCTTCCACCTCCTCCCCCAATCCCCACCCCACAACAAAATGACTCTCAAGACTCCCCCTCTCACTGGTTAGAAAAAAGTGAAAGTTTAGACACGCCTTATTATTCCACCCGGTCAAGTTTATCCCCAGGGCATACACCCCCTCATATCACCCACCACACCACCCTCCTGGACATTGATGTGGATGGACAGAGCACTGATAGCACAAGGCCTCTTTTACGACAAAATGCAAAACATATCTTTGAATTTGGTCAGGAAATGTTGTATTAATTTTTATTTTATCAGGACACAAAAATTATGAAGATAAGGATTTTTTTTTTCCATTAAAGCAATAAAAAGACAACCATTTCAACCAGAATCTAAAAAGTGAGAAAGAAAAAAATTTTCTTCTACAGTATTTTAATATTATGTACATTTATTGAGAGAATGTGTAAGGTAAATGTGCTTTATTTAAGTAAAGCATTTACGTGCATTATGAAAAAAATCACTCAAATGAGTGTAAGAGTATGTTCAGAATATTTAGAATTTAGAAATATTTTGTCTCTGTTGTACATTTCTATTTTGTAAATATAAAATAGTTTAAAATATGATATTTTTACCTGTTTTATTTATCAAAAGTGTGTATTCATCTTCCATTTTGTTGTGTTTTGTTTACAGAAAGTTTTATACCCATGAAGTTATATATATCCAGTATGTGTAGAGGTGTAGAATCTATTGTGAAATGTGATACATATTTAAAATCCAAAGTACATGTATAAATAAACATTGTATAGAATTGTCTGATGCATAGATATTACATGTAGGTAAGAATTTATTTCATATCAAATTGACGATATCAGTTCCATAGGCAAAATTGATTTAAAATGCCAATCATATAGAGTATTTTAAAAAGGAAAACATTTTCTTTTAAAGAAAATATTTGGTGAATTATCCATACTATTGTGCCATGGAAAATTTTACGATATTTTTTACATTTTATATCAGAAGTTTGTGTTTAAACTTACAAATCTCTTGGTTATAGGTAGGATTTTTTTTTTATAAACATGGATTTTTATAAGGTTGAATATTAGCATGTCTTTGGAGGAGACAAAAAGCCATATTTTTGAAATGTGCCTGTGTTTTTGGAGAAAAAGACTCATCTTTATTTAGTAAAACCATTAAGATCATTATATGCAAACTTGAAATACGCAGATATGCCAAAAATATATTCTCAGACTACGTAAGCATCTGGTAATGTTGAAAAGCAATATTTCCTTTTTCATCAGAATGTTTGAATGTAACTGTGAGGTTGAAATACAAAACTTGAAGTTAAAAAAATGGGTAGAGTATACGTATAGGGTATAGGATAAAAGAGTGAGACGAAATGTCTAATATCATGATCATATTTCTCAATAATGAAGTGCTATATTTCTTAAAATTTTATTTCAAAGAGTGGAAAATGGGAAAAAACATTTTATTTCATGAAGATGTATGAAGATACTTTGTTTAAGTAATGTATAAATTTTTCTCATGGTGATTTTCATTTTTCTGAACAAAATCTGTTTTTGCTCCATTTCAAAGCTAAAGATTTTCTTTCCCTTCTGTGAATACATAGATTAATTTCACTATTTTATCATTTTCATTGCCATAAATATAGGAAAAAATAAAACCACAAGGAAAAATGAGACATTTCAGTAAAAAAAAAACCAAATTGGTTAGTTTCTTTTTAGCTTGTAATTAGGTGTAATGTAATGACTGTATAAAAGTTTAAAGTAAACCCCTTTATCAGCAGATTTTTTTTTACGTTACCTGCCCCTGTGCTGTATATAGGGTTATTTTCGCCCCTTGTTACGTTCATCCTATCGCACTCGTAAACGATTTTGCCCCATTATAAATTCACCCACACACGGGTTTTCTAAAATGATGGCTCTTTTAAAGTCACCACTTGTGACTGGGGCAAAAGGGCGAAAATAAAAAGGGGACGAAGTTTTCCCTGTATACAGTAGATGCAAACAGAATTTAACATTGACCCTGCATGTGATGGAATCTCTTCAGTTTTCTTTTGTATATAATGGTTAATAGATCATTGTTGAAGATGTATATATATTTATCATTCTATAGTTGTTGAAAAATTACCATCAGACATTTTGTATGGAAAAGAAACTGCTGTGGATAGGTCCGTCAGATTTACCTGCTCTTCTCATTATACGATAAAAATGCTTTTATAGGATGTTGAAAGGCCACAATATTCTGCCTACAACATACATGTTCACATTGAAAAAAAAATGATATTGAACTTGAATCTTAAATCATACCATGTTCATAAAGAAAGAAAAACAATTTTGAGGGATTTTTAAATGTTTGTTGTAAGATGGTATTCAGTATTCAGGCCAGTTATGTGTAGTAGTGTGAATAATTTTGCACTCAGTGTAAATTTATTACAAAGAGCATGTTTAATTGATACACCACCTGGTAATGCTAGGATTAGTGGATACATTATGTTGCATTGTTGATTGATTTTTCTGTTTTACAAATCTACTCTGTTTTATGATTCATCAAATCTGTGCAACCACTGTGATGTATCATCTTAAATAAGTTGGCAATATATGTCATTTTCTTTTGTAGAAAATAATATGCATAGACTCCATATTGTTCAAATCTTTCTTTCTCTTTGTAAATTATATTCATTATCTACCAATATGTTTGTATCAGGACAGTTCCAGATGAGAGATTTGTTTTTCTCTGCTCAGAGTTTCTAAATGTCAACCATTGTCTGATAAACATGAGTACAGATAATTCATACAAAGTAAGAAAAAAACATTTTACTTAGCATCTTAATTTAATTTTCTTTTTTTTTTTTGAATAGTAAATTGTTTTGAATGGCTATTGGCTATTGAAAGAAAAATAACTATGTAGAAAAATTATATGTGAAATCAGTTTATGTCTGTATACATCAAATTTACCTTGCTTTAGGATTTTAATGAAGAAAACTAACAATATCAGGGCTAGATTTCATGTGCAGAGCATGCACAGGGCATTTAATGACTACCTCGTTTATAAAGTTCACTCTTTTTGTCAGACATGTGAAATCAGAAACTTAGAAATTATAGTGCTGAATAAAAAATTGATGAAGATTGAATTCCAAATGGAACTTATCCTGCAATCAAAAGATTGGTAGCTATATAACTGCATCTTGTCAGACCAAATCAATGAAGAATATAATATAGTTTGTCTCAAAACTTGAACAACGTATTGTATAATATATGATACATTATATATTTGAAAAGTAAAAAAAAAATGATATGCAAAACGTATTTTTGTTGCTTCTCAATTTTTAGGTCACCTGTGTCACTTGGATGACCTAGTGTTGTTGCTTTCTGTTTTCATCTATCATGCTTTAACATTTGAACATTTTCATCTTCTTTGGGACCGCTGAACCAATTTCAGCCAATTTTGGCAGAGGACATCTATGAGTGAAGAGGATCTAAAATGGTTAATTGCATGGTCCCTGCATCTCCTGGGGCCTGAGGGGTGGGGCTAAATCTTTCAAAATTAATGCAATCTTTAAAAATCTTCTTTACTCCTGGACGTCAAGCAGTCAAACTGTTGGCATGATTGTAATTGAGCCCTCTACCAGAATTGTGAAATCCATGGCCCCAGGGTCAGGGATTCTGGTGCAAAAGCAGGGATATATAGATCAAAAGATGAAAATGCGTTATTTTTCTCTGCTCCTGTGTATTAAGCAAACACACCAAGTATATAGTTATGATGAGGAAGGGTGCCTCTTCCAAAATTGTGAATTTCATGGCCCTTGGGTCAGGGATTCTGGTGTTAGTGCAAGGCTGTATTGATTTTATACAGTGAAAATGCACTAATTCTTTCAAAATCTTCTCTGCTCTTAGGTATTTAGCAGATGAAGTGCATGGTTATGATGAGCAAGAGTGCTTCTTCCAAAATTGTGAAATTTGTGGCCCCCATGATTGGGGGGGGGGCTGTTGAATATATAGTGAAAATGCATTATTTCTTTGAAAATCTTCTCTGCTTCTGGTTATTTTGCAGATAAACTAAGTGCATAGTTATGATGAATAAGGGTACTTCTTCCAAAATTGTGAATTTCATGTCCTCTGGGTCAGGGAATTTGATGTTTGGGCAGGGCTCTATTGATTAAATACCTCAGTTGTAAAAATGCATGAATTCTTTAAAAATGTTCTCTGCTCCTGGGTGTAAAGTGGATAAACTAAGTGCTCAGTAATGATTATTAAGAGTGCCTCTTCCAAACTGAAATTTGTGGCCCCAGGATTAGTGGAGGGGGGTACTATTGAATATATAGTGGAAGTGCAGAATTTCTTTGAAAATCTCCCCTGCTACTGGGTATTACTTAAACAAATGAAGTGGATGGTTATGATAAGCAAGGGCACTTTTTCCAGAATTGTAAATTTCGTGGACGTCAAGTAAGGGGTTCTGGTGTTAGGGCAGGGCTCTATTAGTTATATAGTGAAAATGCATTATTTCTTTGAAAATCTGCTTCTTTGCCCCTGGCTATTTAGCCGAAAAACTAATTGTATGGGTATGATGAGCAAGGATGCCTTTTAAAAAAGTATGAAATTCATAAACCCTGAGTCAGGCGTTTTAGTGTTAGGGTGGGGCTCTTTTGAATGTATAGTAAAAATGTATTACTTCTCTGAAATCTTTTTTGCCCATGGATAGTTAGCAATCATACTAAGTGCATGGTTATGATGAGCAAGTGTGCCTCTTTCAAAATTATGAATTTTTTTGGTCCCTGGGCTAGGTGCTCTAGTATTAGGATCGGCCTTTGTTGAATCTATAGTGGAGATGTATTATTTTTAGGAAATCTGTTGCTGGGCATCTAGGAGGAAAACAGAGTATATAAATTAGTAATAAGCAAGGGTATTTTTACCAGATTTGAAATTCTGCACCACTTGGTCAATTTATGAATTTGTATTTTACTGAAAGAAGTTATTCCCCTTTGCTATTCACCTATGATAATTAATCACTGTTAATAATGGAATTGAAAGGTCAATTGAATAACAGAATTATACAAGAATATTTTATTATTTAATACAAAAAGTACTTTCATGGTGTAGTTTTTTAATGGTCAAGTAGCTTTTGAATAATAGTAAATAAAAATGTGACAAAAATACCTTACCTGTGTACATAAATGTTCTCCAAAGACTAAGAGAGGCCACTGTGAGAGAGAATCAGATGGGTTTACTAAAAGTGCCCAAGAACTTTGGTTTTGTTTAGTCTGCATGGGGATAGTGACAAATGGGGGCAAATACAGGCAAATAAATAGATCTCCTTTAAGATTTGATATAGAGCTCTGATTAAATCATTTTGCTGATACCTGATCATGCCATTTCTCTTGCTTTAGGGCAATATAGCTTCATTTATCAGCTTATTTTGTTTTATTGTATTTTCAATCTATGGATTTATTATAAGTGTTACATTATACTCAGGTGACCGTTAAGGCCATTGGGCCTCTTGTTTGTTTGAGATACAGAACTTTTAAAATATGCATTATACACATGTACCTCACATCATGCAAGATTCTATAATTTATTTTGGGAATCAAATGCTGTATATCACCAAACTGTTGCGAGATCTTATTTTTGTGAGAGGTCCTTTGGTATTTTGGCAAAATTTGGATATTGTTTTATATAATCTTTAGTAATACAAATATACGAAAGAATTATTTCGTCAGCAGGCAGTGTCGCGTAATTACGGTAAAATAAAGTTCCCACGAATAAAAAGTGACTTACAGTATTTTCCCTTGATTGTGGCTCTCTTTGTATGGAAAATTAATTAGAACTACGGTATTTGTATCTAGTAGCTAGGTGGGGTTATACTTTCAGTAGAGTTAGATATCCAGCACCTAACGGTTAGGTTAGCTGCTATAATCTTCATGAAGCGCCGATATTTTTTCTACATTTTTTTGGTTTAATTATCCTACATAAACAAAAACAAAGTGAGGTTTAGAATTAGTTTTGTTCAATGTTTATAATATTTAACACATAAACAAGAGCCCGTGGGCCACAATACTCACTTGAGACACATTGGCCCTGCTGTTCTTGAGAAGATTTTCCTAATATGCATTCTTGTAAACTTTTTTGACCCCATATTGTGGCTCCATCTGGCACTCTGGGATCATGCTTTGGACAAACTTGAATTTGCACAACCTGCGGATGCTTGCATATTGATATACTATAGTAACTTATAATGTCTCTGTTGTTCTTGGGAAGAAGATTTATGTTTATTTGTTTGTTTGTTTAACGTCCCTTCTAGAATGTTTCACTCTTAATGAGACACTGCCACTTACCGGTGGAAGGTTGCAAATTTAGACCTGATACATGTTTCATATTTGGATATTTTACTAAATAAAAGTTAATGGTAACCTAACAACAAAACATGATGATAAACGTGATGATTTCAACTTTTTCTATCGTCAACTTCCCTTATTCATGTAGCAATATACCCTTATCACCTGCATATGGCGTTTATGTCTCCCAGTTGATTCTACACGCAAGAGCATTAATTTCTAAAACGAGGTAAGCTATTGACAAACAGGGTGATGAAACAAGGATACCAACAGTCTCGTTTGAAGTCAACATTTCGCAAGTTCAATGGTTGATACAATGACCTTATCAGCAAACACAATCTATCATTAAGTCGAATGCTGACTGACATTTTCAACATCTAATTGTTAGGCCCTCATTTTTACACTGAACTGTTTACTGCAATTTTCTTTCAGTAGATATCAGTTCTTAAAAATAAAATGCTAGAATTGCTCAATTATTTGTTACAGAAAACAACATGAAATCAATACTTGGCGTGATATGTTTAATCCGAAATATGAAAATTGTATTGATAGGGTGAATGGTATTTACGAAGCCGGAATGTATGTATGAAATATTTACAACAATAAATGCATGAATGAATAATAAAAAAAAATGATAATGATATTGATAATACAATGATGATAATGAGAATAACGATGATGGCACTGATGATGACGATCGAAGACGATGATGATTACAATAATGATTTTTCCTCGGAAAATGGTCAAGAATGACAGCGCAAGACTTTGAAGTCTCCGTTTTATCAGAATGTCTTGAGAGGCTTGCATCTCTGTTTTAGTTGACATCCTGAAACTTTAGCATAAAAAAGTCATCAGGGTCACGCTGACCAAACAACTTCCTTAAATTCATCGACATCCGCTCAACAAAGCTTGGTTTTCTAAAGCAGAAAGACGAAACCAATTCCTGTGATTTACAATCCTTGTTCTTTGACAAGACAGCTCTGGTCTTCTGTAGTTGGCGTTGAAATCTTTTAATCTGTAATGAAAGAATTGAAAAAAAAACTTTTACCGCGAATCTTTGAATTGAGTAGCAATGAATGGTTCATGACAAATACAGGGAAAACTTACTAACATAATATCCTTGCTGGGTAAACTTACATTGAAAACAGTTTCATCGCTGTCCTCCAGAATTCTGACATAATTCTGAGCAGCCTTTTCTTTTCCTGAACAAAAAAGTACAGTTCCGATTAAAATAATTTAACTGATTAGAATGGTTTTCATATCTCCAAACTGTACTGATTAAGGATTTACTCTATTCAACAATAAAACTACTAGTATGTTCAAGTGACCGGGATACCAATCTAATCAAATAATGAGAATGAGAAAATAATTTTGTTCCAAATAATTATATACATGTACATGTATTTCTTTTTAACTTATCAGAGAGACATTAAACCTGATAAATTCATTGGGGAGTGAACAACTTCCAAAAAATAATGTACCTATATGAATTTTTTTTTAAGGATTTTATCGAATTTCAACAATAAAACTACATATGTATGTTCAAGTGACCGGGATATCAATCCAATCAAATAATGAAAATGAGAAAATAATTTTGTTCCAAATAATTACATATAGTTGAACATGTACTCTTTTTTAACTTATCAGAGAGATATTAAACCTGACAAATTCACTGGGGAGTGAACATCTTCCAAAAAATAATGTACCGAATATGAATTTCAAGTACATGTAATTATTATAAGTAAATACTAGCAACTTACCGTCTTTGACCAAATACAGCAAATGATTTGTCCACATTCTATTTAGAGTACTTAAATCAGTAGCCGTCACAGTTCTGGATTTCAGGGCCTCCATGAATAAGTATGCATATAATACATACTTCTTCTGTTGATCTGGCAATAAACAGAAAAATTTCATTAAAAAGATTCTAATATCTTTCATATACGTGTTTCACAGTACTTAATTAAATCTAGAGATGGTAAGTAAAAAACATGCTTATGTCTTACCAGCAACCTCTTTCTTTTCGGAATATGAAAATCCTGTGCTTTTGTTTGCAGTTTCTTTTCCATACAGGAAAATCAAAATTTGAAGAATGTTTTGTCTCTGGAAAATAAAATAACGGAATAAATAATGCAAAAATAAAATTTATTTCTCTACATATTTTCCTTACTTAGCACGTAATCGGCACATATAGGCACTGAATTAAAATACCCGCTTCCTTTCTCTTAAACCGATTAGAAGACGTTAATATAAACCAATGCTTTATAACATGTAACGTCTAGAAACTCACCACTGGAGTCATTGTCCGTGTGTTTGTAACAGATAAGTACTGTAGTAGATTTGATCTTAAACGCTGCTCAAAGGTTGACTTTCCCAGCTTTTCCATCCTAGAAAAATAGTGTGCTCAAAAGATTTTCAGAGGTGTGTTTACTTTTGTTACAGAACAAGAGTGGTTCGCAACCTCTGTGACATCAGCGTACTGTGACGTGGAATCATTATGGCGTCATCAATAAAAGCTCATAAGGTATAGGTGAATATAGGTGACTCTAGCTTATCGATGTTTCCTCTGGAAAAAGCTGACTTTACAAACTGTAACGCTTCGGATGTTAAACATTCCCGCAAATGCTAGGAATAAAAACCAAGTCGCTAAATAAAGTTTGTAATTTTATTCAGTAAAACAACAGCGAAAATGAATAACAGTGTGTAAAATTGACAAGTCTTAACCCTGGGGACAAAAGACAAAAATCAGTACAACTACCGATACGGACGAATATAAACTGGCACTATTTCCAGTAAATAAGTATAAATTCCCCCAACCAAACTAAAACGGAAAGGCTCTCTATAAATGACTTAATTTACAAATAATAAAGAAAAAAGTGAGCAAGCTCACATACCCCACGCTCCCCCTAAACTTGACAGTGCAACACATAATGAATGGCACGGTGCATTTTAAATACACAGTATAATTCAAAAAGGGACATTACTTGCAAAAAATCATCACGAAAAACTTCTTGCATATAAGGACATTCAAATCTTTGTCTGTTACAAATTTAATTGGGCTGAAGTTTCTAGATAAATATTGGAATCTAGGTAATAAACAAATCTACACATTATGTCTGAAATACCTACAAAGTTTCTGGAAATTCAGTGCAGGGATTATGCTGACAAACTGTTTTTTGAATTCCTGTTAATGACTGTAAGTCCATGTCCAACGTATGAGAATTATTGATGGAAACAAAATTATGATGTAGTCATATAAATTTGTTTATAAACTGTACTTATGAAATTATTTAAGGCAAAACACAAATTTGAGGTGGGGGGGGGGGGGAGAACTTTTTGTGTACTTCTATCCGGTGTGTGTTGAATCATTAATACTTTGATCTCAACATTAATAGGGGTCTTTTAAGGTCATAAAATATTTCACATAAAATATTATAAAAGCTGATTCTAATGGATTTCCTTATCATGTGGTTGAAAAGTTTCTTCAATAATAGGCAAAACTCTAAGGCCAAAAATAATGGAAGCGGAATGTCCTGACAATATGCACAACTACGAGGGGTTATCAAAAAGTTCGTGGACTGATGCGATAAAATTAATACTATGTAGTCTGTGCTTACAAAATTTACGAAAAACATAAATCAACAAATGTTTAAGAAATTTTGAAATTTTGAGCTTGATACGTTGATAATTTGCCAAATTATTCTAAAATAAAAAAGACATTATATGATCACCCGGCGCTGTCGCCGTTTAGTTTCATGACGTCCGACAACGTCATTGTTTCTCAATGTCCACTCCGTCTACCTTATACACTTATCTTGATGTGATTACCTGGAGTTAAGTAAGGGCTTAAGTCCGTCTTGTTTATGTGACTTTACAATGTCATGAACAGCTGCTTTCAATGCCTATAATATTGTAAATGTATCTATACATAAGGAAAGATCCTCACTTGATTATACCTGCAGAATACTTAGCTTGATGGAGTTCAATTTCTACCACACATGATCAACGTCACTTTTCGACGTGACTGATTTTTGACACCCTCACTACAAATTGACTTTAACTGTGCATCTTTCATCTCTCTGAATCTTTTTGGCTATTTTAAAACGAGTACTCTGGATGTGTTTTATTTTTCTGTAGCCCGTTTAAACATTCCCTAGGTCTATACCAGTTTTTCCAGGTGCGAAACTTTAAAAAATGTTGGAAACAGTAACCCCTCCCCCTTTTTGACGTCATTTTTGAACCCTTAATTGTTTGTACACTCCATATAAATTTACGATAAAATTTCATAGAATTTACAGAATGGGGTAAAAATTGCAAATTTTACGGAACAATTGTGTTGTACCACATGCCTGGATTAACCGGATTTTTTGACGACAAATGCTCATCTCAAAAGAGTTTTTCTCAGTTACACTCAGGTAGAAAAAAAAAAAGTCATATTTGAGGTTGCTCCGCTTGGACATACCATTGCTTACAAAAACAATAACAATTTATTAAAAAATAAAACTTATGATTTATGGTTTATTCTATCGATAGAAAAGATGATGCTAACTAAATGTATTAAAATTCATTGATGTACCTAAAGCGGTTTTAATTTTATGGCGCTAGTCCACGAACTTTTTGATAACCCCTCGTACACACTATGTCCTAAATATCTGCAAAGTTTAATGAAATTCTGTGCAGCGGTTTAAGGGGAGTTGCGTTGATAAACTGTTCATATCTCTATATTCAAGATATGGCCAGAAATCTAAGTTGAAAAATGCCGAAATTCCCAGAAAAATAGTGGAATCGGAATTTCCTGGCAAAATGCACAACTGCACACTATGTCCTAAATATCTGCAAAGTTTGACGAAATTCTGTGCAGCGGTTTAAGAGGAGTTGCGCTGACAAAAAAACTGACGGACTGACTGACGGACTGGTCAGAAACATTATACCCCCCGCAACTTGTTGCGTGAGGTATAAATATTTCCGATACTAGTTCAACTACTACTAGTACTAGCACACAGTAGAAATATTCCCTAACTTTTAAAGAAAATAAAAATAACTAGTTCTTAACTAGTAATAATAAATGAAACTAGCACAATGATAGTAATATCAAATTAGCACTACCGGTAAATATATGTTCTTCAGTCACTTAGATACTTAGTTGCAGAACTGTAGCTCTCCGAAAAAAAATCGACAGACCGGAGAGCTACAGTGCCATCCATAGAAAAAAAAACTGTATATTTATTGCACACAAAAAGTTGTGCTCGGTTCTAGATTTATTTCTCCAAATTCTTACCTCAACTACACAAAAGCTCGATTTCAAAAAATCCCTTAGACCTCTATCAACTACTCTCGTAGTTGACATCTTTGCGAAGCGCGTTTGGTCTAGCCACCCCAAATGGCAGTATTAACAAGCGAAATTTTGGATGGTCTTAGTTTCAGGCCCAGGAGGGCTATTAACAACGGTTATAGGAAATGTTTTGATGTGGGAATAGTGCAAAAATGTGTTAGGAACACACGGTCAGTAATATTTAGGGATTGCAGTTTAAAAATACGGAGAAATAAATCGAGAAACAGCGCACTTTTTTGTGCGCAATAAATGTACAGTTTTTTTTCTTTCTGTGGGTGGCACTGTAGCTCTCCGGTCTGTCATTTTTTTTTCGGAGAGCTACAGTTCTGCAGCTATTAGATACTGAAATAGTACACACCTTAATCTGGACCAAAACCGGCGACCTTTCTTCAGGACACAAAGGAAAGGAGAGAGCACCCGATATTCAGCGTCTGTGTATTTTTAGAACTTCCAAAACCCGCAATAATTAATAACCAATCATAATTAATAATTCCATCCATATAATTATCATCCCGTAATGAGTCTCACACTCGTACATCGTATGTAAAATTATTACAATATGTAAATAAATTAATATAAATTTACGCTTTTAAAGCACATTTTTCATTTAAATAAACAGAATCTACAATCAAATCTTCCGCCAATACACCGTGAATTATCATGGGAAAATACACATTTGTCAAGTAAACACACTCGGCACACCTCGGCCAATTCGTACCTCATCAAATGAAGGTGTTTGATGAAGGTGGCGGAATCAGCCGAGGTTTGCCGAATGTTTGATGAAGGTGACGGAATCAGCCGAGGTTTGCGAATGAAGTAAACAAAGTATGGCGGCGGCAGAATTTTCAGAAAAACACGTGCGCTCGAAGACGCTAAAACATCGATCGCACGACAATTAAGGTATTAAATCGTGAGGTAATCATAAATTACAGTGCAACTTTATAACTATGTATTTACAAGTAAGTAAACAACAAATGTATAATTAAATAACTCAACAATGCTCGACATTCAACACATCATAAGACATGAAAAAAAGGGGGTCGTTACAAAAGAAATTATGCAATGGAATAATTACGGTATGGAGTGAAAAATTAACGTAATTGAAGGGATTTTAATTTTTTGAAGATATAGGAAGTTCAATCATTGTGTGTGCAAATATGGAATTGATTCTTTGGAAGTCTTATCGTTGAGGGCGCTCTGTAAACACTGCTCACTGAAGAGTTCTAATTTCATGATAGTTTTATGCAGTAAGAGTGATCTACCCTTTGATATAAAATGGGGGGAAAATGGAAATCTACAGTAAATGACACAATTTGAAAAAGATTAATGAATTCTAAACATTATATTAGACCAAGATAAAGTAATTGAAAACATAATTTGCAGGTATTTTACCAAGAGAAGAAAACAACAATGATTTACTTTCACTTATACTTCAGTGTCTTTGAACATTTTTCCTGGAAAAAATAGCAGGTACCCTATGTTGAAAATGAACTACTAAGTAGATAATTTCAATATGAACACCTTCATATGATAAAAATTTCTCAAAGTCCCCAAAACATTTTTCATTAGTGTTTAGAGCTTCTTTGAGTCGGGGAAACTTGGCGGATTTTTTTTTTTGGGGGGGGGGGGGAGGCTTATGATAATACATATACATGTCAGTTCGATCTAGAAACTCTGCCAACATTTAAAAATACATTTCTTCTTTGGAAATCATCATTAAGTCGTGAGCATATGGCAGATCAATTGTTCTGCATACGATTCTATTAACCTTATCTAAACCTTCTTCCAAAATTCAATTGACGAGTACAAAAATTTATTTGATGTGATCACTTTATTTGTTGATCTCAACAATATGGTGTAATGATTGCTCGCAAATTTGTTGTTCATCTTAAGTTAATTGAAGAAACTTAATTAATATTTAATAAAAATTTGCTTAATGCCCACATGAATTCTTTTACGGTTGTCATGTTGAAAATTGTATATTTACCGCTACCCAGTAAATTTGAAAAAAAAAAAAACAAACGAAAAAAAACAAAAAACAAAACAAAACAAAA